AGGCACCCCCAGGCCGGGTGGGCCCCATGGGTGGTGGGGAACCTGTGCCCGCCTCTTGACTCTTCCACCAGCAGCTGGGGTTGGGTTTAAATTCGGCTTTTGGGGCAATTTTGGTGCTGTTTATTTTTATCCCCGTGCCAGGCAGGCTCGGGGGACAGTCGGCTCCGGCAGCGGCTGGGGTTGGGTTTAAATTCGGCTTTTGGGGCAATTTTGGTGCTGTTTATTTTTATCCCCGTGCCAGGCAGGCTCGGGGGACAGTCGGCTCCGGCGGGATGCAGCCATGGGGTGAGGCGGTAACAGGCACCAAACCCAACATCTCTCATGGCAAAGGAGGTCACGTTTGGAAGAGAAACGGAGCTTGCGGCTGCGAAAAATCCCAACGGGATCCCCCATCTCCTCCCTGCATCCCCAAGGAGCTGCGTCGCTGCCCACGGAGAGGACTTGCAGCGTTTTCCCCTTTCCTGTTACCCCAAGGACCTTCTGGCTGCCCTGAGAGCACGGCGACGGTGGTTTTTCTGCACGGCTCTTTCCTAAGGTGCGAGGAAGAGGAGGGATGTGGCCGAAGGGATGCTCTGGAATACAGGAGGGGAAAAGTAGACTGAGACTTGGAAGAAAAATGGCTTTTCCGCGAGAGGAAGGTGAGGTCCCCATGCCTGCTCACGGAGCCATGCGATGGGCTGCCATCACCACCCGGTTTCTCTGGGTGCAGGACCCTCCGCTGGCGCGACACCCATGCCACTGGGGAGGGGGGATACGAGACATGGGGGGGTCTCACCTGCATGGTCCCAGGGGGATGACACTCCCATGGGATTTGCCGTTTGACCCTGGGAAGGACCCACCTGGGACGGGTCCCACTGACCACCCATTGCACCCCATGGAGATCCTGCTGGGAGCAGCGTCCTGCGGGAGAGAGGATGGGGTGGTGGTGGGGAGCGAATTGCAGCCGGGGGGGTGTCACTGGCTAACGAGGCTGAGAGCGGCAGCAGCGTCCTGGACCACGGCTTCACTTCGTCTGCGGCAGGGCATGCACTGCTGGCGGCTTTAAAGGGGCTGGAAAAGGAGGAACGGGAAGAAAACCAGGGAACGTGGCCCATGGAGCAGGCTGGGTCCCGATTCCAAAGCACGCGCGGCCCCGAAGGTCAGGGCCAAAACCCCCTGGGTGCACCCCAAGTCTCATGGAATCACGGAATGGTTTGGGTGGGAAGGGACCCCTAGAGGTCACCCAGCCCA